AGTCATCATTAGCTAAGACAGTTTTGTTTTCTAACAGGGTAGTTGACCTTTGGAAAGAGCCTTCAGATGTGATGGAGGCAGTAAATTTAAGTGAGCTTAAGGGAAAGCTTGATAAATATATGAATGATAAGGGCTGGCTCTGAGTTTTATTTTAGTTTAGTGGATAGGAAAGCCCAGATGGACCAATAAGTCTCTTATTTTCCCTAAATATTACATTGTATTATTATGATATATAAGTTACTTAACAGAGATAGGGAGGGGTCTTTATATAGAGTTGGTCTGAAGACATAAAAAATGGCAGTCAAGAGGTTGACTCTATATTGGGGTTTCAAGGATAGTAAGTTGTAAACTGGTAATTATTATAGGCCACCTGACCAGACAAAAGAAGTCCTTGACACATTACTCAGAGATGATGGTTGTTACTAAAAAAGAATACTGATTTAGTAACTATGGGAGACTAATTTCTAGACACATTGACTGGGATTCTAAGGAATCAGTTACTGAAATATAATATGAAAAAAAGCCAACATGGATTAACTAAATGAAAATATTGCCTTGCTAATCTGTTAAATTTTTTCAATGATTTAATTTGTTATATGTATGATTGAAAATGTAGGAACTTGTATTTAGATTTTCAAAAAGCTTTTGATGAGGTGCTACTCAATAGATTGGCCAAGAAATTCACATCCATGTGTTCTATATTCTTAAGATAATAGGACAAGATAGCATAGGTTTAATATTTGTAGAAAACAGGATAGGCTCCAGCTAAGACAGTTTTATTTTTAGCTGTGGCTGAACAGCTCATAGAATGGCTCCGAGTTGTTTTGTATTTTTCAAAGGATAAACTTTTAACTCCTAGCTCTGTCATCTCTTGACCGATGTGAGATCTAATTACAGTTTTTGAATAACGGAGGTCAAACCCTTTCAATTTATGTATTTGATCGCACCAAGGTCTTATACATTAGGTTAATATAATCCTGCCTAAAAGAATTTTAATTTGAGGGGAGGCTAGTAGAGGACCTGATGAGTTATGAAATTAAATTGGGAATACGCACCTCCCCACACTTGGTATTGTTGGCACACAAAAATATAGCTAATAAAATAGGAAACAAAGGTCTCGTAGATTAATTTACTCTAATCCTGCCTAAAAGAATTTCAAGTGCCATGAATATTGAGGATTCCCTCTTGTTCTAACATGGAATGAATTACCAACAATAGTGGTGGAGACCAGCATTTTACAGGAAATTAAGAAGAAAATCAATGATTTCTTGGGAAATGACGGATAGGTTTAAAGTTTTACTTTCCTCAAGGGTGGGTATGCACAGACAGTCTTGAAGGTCAAAATGATCCTTGTCCTTAGATTCTTTCTTTCATAGTAGTTTTGTAGAGAGATGACATATTTCTCAAACTACTTTTAAGAATACTTTCAACCATTACTCTTATCATGGCATTTTGGCAATTTCAAATGAATCTCTACACAAGAATGTTTTTCCTTGCAGTCATGGGCATCTGCAGAATTTTTTCCAGGGAGGGGCAATGTAGTGTGAAATTTTGAATTGAATAAAAAATTCATATACATATTCTGAACGAATAAAGAAAGAATTATGTTTCTCATTTTCAAGGTTAAAATTTAAAGTTGATTGATATCCTTGTCAATATTGACAATACCAAGGGAGAAAAGTTAAAAATGGACTTGCTGTAAATTATAAACAAACACACACTAAAACAAAGAAAACAATTAAATTACTATAGCTTGACAATTAGTGGTATTTAATCGATTAATGGGCTTACCAATTAATTAATTAGCACATTCAATTAGTATGTGCCCTCTACAATCCACAAATACTTTCAAAATTCACAAACAAATGTAACTGAAAGGAAAATTTACAGAAAATATAAGAAAATACTCTTAAACATATAAATTTATTCTACTATTACATGATAGTCTAATTTTTGCTCAATTCAATCATATTTAAAACTTTCTTTATAGCTATTTTAAAAGTTGTGTTTCAGTAGTAGGTTATCAAACCATTGGACATGACACCACAAAGTTTTAAACAAGGCCTGTACAAAAACTAAGAGAAACACTTGAAAATCAAGAAATGGATAATATATTCTCAGACGATGATAATTTCTTTGTATAAATAGTTATATTTTGGGAAGGGCATAGAAATTCTGAAAATAAAAAACGGTCGACAACTGGATTCTTTTGTTTACAGACAAAATGCCTTGCAGCTGTG